ATATTTCTTATTTCAGGGGGCAGAGAGTTCCACAGTCTGGGAGCAGAGCAGGAAGTCATTATGAATTGAGTAAAAGCCAAACTGCAGCTTGTTCTGCTCTCTTCCTGTCGCAGGTACAGCTTGTTTGCAGTGGTGAACCACCAGGGGACACTAGAGAGCGGTCATTACACCACTTTCATCCGACAGCACAAGGACCAGTGGTTCAAATGTGACGATGCAATCATCACCAAGGCTAGCATCAAGGATGTCCTGGATAGTGAAGGGTGAGAACGTCAAAGAGCTTGAGACACATTTTTGCTTTTGTGTTTCTGCTGCTGACTGACCTCGTGGTGCTTTCATCTCCTCAGGTACCTTCTGTTTTACCACAAACAGTTCCTGGAGTACGAATAAGTCCCTGCATCAGCACGGCCTGCAGGATGAGCTGAGGGACGACGCAAGGATTTGTTTGTAACAGAGTGATGAGAAAGGCAAAGAAACACGTTGTCATTGGCAAGTCCCACCCTTACTACACACCAGTCTAGTTACTCTGTGTGACATGCAAGAAGGACACTGTCTGCTGTGCAGGAGAAATCCAACAAATCTGACTGGATGGGCCCTAAAGGAACTTTATGTACTTGAATTCAGGGGATGAAGAAGAAAGCAGCAAGTCCGTGTACAAGTCTGCTAAAAAAAAAAAGAAGAAGAAAAGAAAAGAAAAGAAGTGCAGAGTCCTTCTACATTTTTGTTCTCTTATCAGACACAAATGCAAGAGAAGCTTCACTTGATCACAAATGCTGTCCTTCACCAATGTCTTGCTACATGCTTCTTGCACAGCTGCATATGTAGGGGAAGAAGCAGAGCAACAGCTTTACACAGAGCTACAAGGCTCTGTTGTGATATTGTTCTTTCCCCCTCTCTTCAAGGCAATCTTCCGGACACAAGCGCACTTGTCTAACACAGCTACGCTCCTCCAAAAGACCAAATATTTCAAGGGTGGAAGTTGTCTTCGTATGCTTTTTTTTTTTTTTCCCAGAGTGCAGCTACTGGGGAAGGGAAAAAGACGTTAATCATAGTATTGTGTCTGAAGTTTATTCCATTTTTATTACTTGCGAGCTTGTAGTTATCGCTCAGAAACCATTTTCCCTGCGAAGGACATGAAGGATCTGTTATTTTCTGCCTGTCTCCTCGTCAAAAATGGGGAAATAGACAACACAGTAAATATATTTTTATACATACTGCAATTTAAAAGCATTTGTTTGCAGTTTTGCGTTCTCCCTGGACTCTCACGTTGTTCATCTGCGTTACATTGTGCTGTCAATCTCATATATATCTTTTTTTTTTTTTGTACACATGACTTTCATGACACTGCTGCTATAGGCTGCTTCTTTTTTTCTTTTCTTTTTTTTGATTTCAGTCGTGTTCTCCACATTAATGAAACATTGTAATGATGCTGTTTCAGGTAAATGGCAAAAGAAAGAAAGTAAACAAAAAAGGAGGAGAGTCTGTACAGTTGGTCACAGGCTCAGTCCTGCAGTGTTAACTGTCGGCCGCATGTTGCTCTAATTCAGTGTGTTTATATGTGTGTGAATGTGTGCACGTGAATATGCTCGAGAAAGAGGAGGATTAAAAAAAGAAGCAAAAGAAATCCATTAAAAAAACCTCAGCTTAGGTGCGTTTATATAAAATGTGTTATTGAGTGTAAAGAGACAAAAAAAAGAGCGCGTATGTGTCCTGTTTGTATGCACGTGTGTCGTGCGCGTGCGTATGTAGCGTATGTTCATGTACTGAATCAGTACTTGCATTTAGCATGCCGTCTGAGCTGGGTATCACAGTTTGATAGGATTTTTTTTTTTTTTGTTCCACATGTTGATGACGTGTGTAAAAGTATATATGTACAGTTTGTATGTAGAAACAAAATGGTGAAACCTCAAAGTTGATTTGTTCTTCTATATTGCTGGATCCAGCCACGGGGTCATAATCAGAAAAAAAATAATAATATTAAATATCTTGAGCCAGTCAGTCATTCCACAAAAACACATGTAACTGCTGCAAGAACTGGACACAGTGATGGAAAGACACTCAAATAAAGAAGAATCTATATCTGTAAAATCCTTGTGTGTTGCTTTTTGTCACTAATTATGTAAGATTATATTTATGTGTTTATTTTATTGTTTGTGTTGCTATATTTTAATGTTATATTGCTGATTGAAGGGTTTGAAAACTACTGTAAAAGATTCATGGTGACAACTAACATCAGCCCAAACACCTCATGCCAACTGTCAAGCAAGCAAGCACGGTGCTGGAGTGGTCATGCTTTTGGCTAGCTTTGCAACCACAGGACCCTACTGTGCATTCACTGAGTCAACTGTAAGTTTAAACGTTAGCTCGTCTGTGAAAACGGATAAAGCTATGTCCAAATTGGGTCATGCAACACGGAAGTGACAGAATGGCTGAAAAAGTTAAGAATGAAGGTGTTGCAATGGTATCAAGAAGGCGATAAAATTGTCTAATAAATGTTAATAGAAAACCAACAAAATATTTTCTTTTGGAGAAAGAAAGCAAATTATATAACTGACAAGTTAAAAAAAACAAAACAAACACATCTTTAAATCAATGAAATTACAAATACTTTTTCCAGCTCTCATTGTTTTAAGGTTTCTAAATTAAATCAGAGCGTTCTCATTCCCGACGCGTAACATACCATCAATTTGGCACGGCTCGAGGCGTGTCATAGTAACGGGAAAGGTACCCTTCCGCATCCTTATGAAACACTCCAGATTCTTAATTGAAGCGAATGCACTTCCCTTTTTATTCCCTTTTTACTCTCATGCCTCAGAATGCGTAACATACAGGCGAATTGTCACATATCGTTGGTATGTAACGTGTTGGTATAGCTCGTTTGCATCTGCCGTTTACAAGCTAAAGAGACCTTCACTTGCTTGACATCTTAAAGTGTCGATTATATTTGTACCCTTTGGTATAAGGCTGTAACAGCAATTCATAGCAGAACAGTATGAAACTTTGCAAAGAAACCCACTGGGGGAAAGCAGAGTCACAAAGTCTCTTTCTGCATTGCTAAAAATATGCTCCATATCAGTTTTTCACAAAAGTCAAGTCAGGACCACCGTGTCCGAAAGTCAGACGCAGGAGCGGTGTACAGCAAGCGCTTCAAATTCTTATTAGAAGACCCAGAGCAGAGTAAATCCTCTGAAATGCTGTATAGCCGTTATGACACTACCCATAACCACATTATTATTCATCTTTGGCTCTCTTGCACAGCATGTGGGGTTTTTTTTTTTTTCGGTCACCCATAAATGGTTACAGCAGATGGCCGCCCCTCCCTGAGCCTTGTTCTGCCGGAGGTTACATCCTGCTAAAAGGGAGTTTTTCCTTCCCACTGTCACCAAAACTCTTGCTCACAGGGAGTCAAATTATTGGTGGGTTTTCTCTGTTTTCTTTGTATTATTGTAGGTTCTTTACCTTACAATAGAAAGTTCCTTGAGGCAACTGTTGCGATTTGGTACCATATAAATAAAACAAAAAAACCCTGAAAATTGAATTTGGACGCTGACTCACGTTGCCACTTGACATCCACAGTCATATTCAAAACTAGTCATGATGTCACAAAGTCACATTTGTAAGCTTTACTGGCAATATTTATTCATTGTAGCTATTGCAATATGCGGCCTGATGATTTACATTTACACATTCACAATGACATTAAGCAAAAGCAATATGACAGAAAACCTATAAGCATGTTTCATATGTGGAAATATGAAGTGAAGCATAAAGTTGTATTCATGTTAAAGTGTGTTATTTTCACACCACAGTCGAGGGAAACCTGAACATCCTGCTGTTATTTCCCTTTAATTCCCGGTTTTCCCAATTGGGTCGATACATATAGAAAGAAAAAAAAAAAAAAACATTCCCACCTGATCCCTTTAGAATCAGCTGGTTTTTTTACAGCATAAAGATGACTAGTAGATAAGATGGCTTATCTACTATCAAAATGTAGATAATAATAAGACCTTTCATATCAATTTCATATTTGTTATATCATTTGACCCTTTAAAAAGTGCACTTTGGGTAAAATTGATTTGGTTTCATGTGCTTACTTATGAAGGTTTTTTTATGAGGGTTTAAAACATGCTGGAAAAAGAACTGCAAACACAAATTTAAAGGTGACAAAATTCAACACACACGCACATGTGTATTTATATCCTTGTGGGGGCATCTCATTGACGTAATGGTTTCTCTAACCCCTTACCCTAACCCTAACCATCAAAAATGAATGCCTTACCCTGACCCTAACCCTAAACGTAACCATAACCTAATTGTAACCCCGACACTAAAACCACAATTTGAGTCTCAAAAAAGCCTTCAAACCCATTGGGACTGGGATCGGTCCCCACAAGTATAGTAAACATCCAATGTTTGGTCCCTACAAAGATGTTAATACCTGTACACACACACACACACACACACACACACGCACACGCACACACACTTATGTAGTTCATAAAAATCCTTAAAATCAGACAATTTTTCCAGCAAAGATAATTACATTTTTTTGTATTAAAAGTGAGTGTGAAGGTTTCAGTATAAATGATGAGTGAAGGAACTGAGAGGTCAAAAAACGGTTTGTGAACTGTCGTTATAAAGCTGGGAATTTTCACCCTCTCCATCTTTGTGTCTTGCGACTACGTTATCAGGGGAGCATCTGATCATTAACCAGTCATAACACTCTGGGTCTCTTTTCTGGCTCTCAGAATCACCAAATTTACATGAAATTGAGTTAATATTTGATTTCATAAGATCTGAAATGAGTGATGGATCTATAGGATTTTCCAGAAAGTGTTAAACAAGTGCTTAAAAGAGTAGAGTTAAGGTCAAGGCTGAGGGCTTGGTTTCGCCCCCTGGTGGTCAGTAAATTCAACCTAGACGCTATGTCCATATTATATTTATAGTGACAGACTGATTTGTCACATATTGTGATGGTGTTTGTAGCATTTCGTTTTTAGGTTGTTTTTTTTTGCTATTGTTGGTTTTGGGGGTTTTTTTGTTGTTGTTTTTTTACCCCAACAAAATATCCAGTATATCGACAACCTTCTCTGATGGATCGGAGACACGGTAATTAATTCCAGTTCACTTGCACCACTAAACTCATCCCACTGCTGCCTCCTCCTGGACCTTCATGTCGTAGGTTCGGAAGCTCTGCTCCGTCCAGCAAGCCCCTCCGTTTTGGGTCTGGGCTCTTTGGAGGACAGCTTGCTGGTAGAGCACAGGAGGGTCTCTGAGCGTCCTGCTGTGAGCCGGGCCTCGCACGTTCATGTCAGGGAAGCAGTGGACACACACGCAGGTCTCTGTTGGCAGGGAGTCGTCTGATGGCTCGAGGTTAACGGGGCAGCTCGGAGACATTAGAATATCTATAAGTGAAGAAGGCAGACCCTCGTTAAACTGCTCAGCGTTTCCAATGGTTTTTTGGTTCATTCCAGACTAACCTTTGGAGCTTTTTCCAAGTTGCCCAGCTGGAATACCAGTCTCCTGTCCCGGCCTGGCCTCGCTCTCTTTCTTCTTCTTGGATTGACTGCCCTGTGTGGATCCTTGGTTAGAGGTTTTGGCCTTGCCTCCTCTAAGAAAGGCTACAAAGGCCAGAAACAAGCTAGAAAACAGCAGCGCCAGGCACACAGCCAGCAGGGAGTAGATGAGGATATCAGAGTCTTTCAGTGTGGAGGGTCCTGCGACAACTTCAGCTAGGAAGGAAGGAGGACAGATCTTTTGACTGAATGCTTCTAGATTCAAATGTCAGGTATATAAGCTCTGAACAATGTTAGTCAATCAGAACAATTTGATAAAGTTTTGATATTTTCCAATACTTCCTTCTTTAAGGTTTAAAAACACAGAAAAACCCCATCAGGACAAAGGTCACCGAGGGGTCAGCACTCACTCTGGCAGTGTGGGGCGCATTCTGGAGGATGTGTGCCGCAGATCTCTTTACACTCTATACATTTGTTTAGCAGCTTATCGTAGTAGTGGCCAGGTTGAGTCTTACAATTTACAGCCTCTGATGCAGAAGGAGACAACGTGAGAGAAGAAGCAGAAGACATGTAAGAAACTGAACTGTGTGGGTTTAAGAGTATCTCTGCTGTTGCTATTACCTTCAGGAAGAAAGTCAAATATCAAAAATACAGGTTACATCTATATGTCTTCAAGTTTATGCTGGATTTTAAGTTGCAATCTTGGAAAAGTTGCATTAAAAAAATGCCCCTGCATGTGTCTGTGAATGCATGTGTGTGCTCTCACCACAGAAACTTCTGCATCTGCTGATTACAAGTGATTTCTGACATGTCCCCAGACAGTCCATACACCCCACCAAAGCATCCCGATACTGACCTTCAGCACAGCCTCCACCCATCGGCCTGATAACCCTCACACTGAAACACACACACACACACACACACACACACACACACACACACACACACACACACAAAGGGACCAAAACAAATGATTTTATTATTTTCTTTCTGTCTTTGTGACTTGATCTCTATGAAAAGTTTATTTGTAAAGAAACTTTAAAAAGATGGGTGGCTGTAAACAAGCAGCTGTGGCATTGGCTAACTACACATTATGTTGGTTATTTTATGTGCGTGTTATTCTGGTATTTATATATATGAAAGCAAAGCAGCTGTGATATGTAATGTATGCAGTGTAGTGGATTAGACTGCTAGCTCCATCCTTGACCCAGTGAAACTGTATTATTTTAGAAATCGAGGCTTTACTGAGAAATATCTCAGTTTTTGTCCTCTTTTTGTGTTTTCCACACGTTTTTTGGAGCAAAACTTAGCATAGCTACAACCAGCATCCTTTTAGAAATCATGTACTTTCTTCTTAAGCATATTTTTCTTTGCTCCAGTGAGCACTGAGTCATCCAAGTGCAAAAAGATGCAGATCTCTACACCACCTCCGCCCCGCGCTGCTTTCACATAGAGCGCTAAGACTAATGCCCGGGTATATCCGTCACACCCCAGCGAGCAGCACTCTGTGTCTAATTCAGGATTCATATACAGTATGTTCTCTCTTTAACTTTCAGAAACACATATAAAGTCCCCAGCGTCTGAATTCAGAGTACCTTTTAAATGCACTTAGCCATTTCTGTGCTTATTTATGGAGGGCGTTTCTTATTGTTTTCATGTTTGGAATCTACAGAAGGACGTAAACTGCGTTCAAACTGATAGAAAACATTGTTTCTCGTTATAAAAGCCTCAACGAGCCGCTTGGTTTGTTATGAAGGTCCTCTATGGGAACTTAACCAGCACTCGATAAATGGATTTGATTCTCACCTGCGTTTCAAATGCTAACGAAGCACATTTATCTTACTTGAGCCGCTGCTATAGGCTGTTAATGATGTTGGCAGAGATGACTTACCAAGCGAGATGAAGACGCGGAGGGAGAATCCTTGATTTGAAGATGAGAGTGACACAGGCCTGTATTTCAGCGTGGAAGCTAATTTAAATATACACTAAGTGCCAGACTGGGGACTTCCCCCTATGCATGAGGAGGATCCTCCCACTTAAACACACACACACACAGAGTGAGGTCAGACAAGAAAAGTGCCTATATATTGTAGTCAGTTTCCCTTGGACTGTTTTTTGAGACTGAGTGTAGTCCATATAGTAAACACGATGTCTGGTACTGAGTGTCTGGCACATGGAAGTGTGAGACAGTTCACTGCACTCTAGTGACCTCCACAGTCACCTGACCGGAGCACTCTTGGGATGTGGTGCAGCAGGAGATTCACATCATGGATGTGCAGCTGATCAAATCTGCAGCTGTGTGATGCTGTCATGGCAATATGGTCTAAAACATCTGAGGAATGTTTCCAGCACCTCGGTGAATCTGTGCCGTGAAGAATTAAATCTGTATATAAAGTGTCTGAAGGTTGTAGAGGGGTTGAATCACTTTTGGAGCGAGCTACAAGAGGCTGTTAGGAGAACTCGTCATTATTATTTTAGTCCTTTTCCACTTAATTACACTTGAACTACATAGAATATGAAATACCCTCTACATCTTTTTTTAAAGAATATAAAACATTCATTAAAAAAGAAAAGATGTATGGCCTAGAGCTGAGACGCCACATTTATTCCAGTTTGATCTTAAGTGGGCCAGGCCACGTTTAATCCCTGAGATAGTTTAATATCAGAAAAAAAAAGTCCAATTTCGACAAAATGTATAAATTTTTGGGGAGGGGATGTTTTTTATATGATAATAAAAACACTGCTGTAGTAAATGCAAGAAATCTGTCAGCACGAGTCTCTGGGCTTAATCTGCAAGAGCTAAATGTGTAAAATTATAAACAGAAATTTCTTGTTTATTCACAGAAAATGTCTGTTTTTACATTTCTATTGTAGTGAAAAAAAATTGATTTAATTTTGGGGGAAATTGGACCAAGGTTGAGTTTAAATAGGAAAATCAGTCAACACTTTGTGTTACCCACAATTTTTTATGGATCGTCTTCAGAAGTGACATGGACATACTGGGCCTTGGGAGACATGAGTTTCTAGGCTGGCTACGCATGTGACCTCATTGTTAGCACCCACCAACAACACCATAACAGGCTGATGTTGTCATGAGGCGACTTTTGTTGTGATTTGGCGCTATATAAATAAACTTGAATTGAATTGAGTTGAATTTAATATTGTAATAAAAACAAACTGATGTGACCATGATCATGGAGAGGTCTTCATTAGTAGGAAACTTAGAAAGAAAATACAATTAAAAATACAAAATTTATGCCCTAACTCACATTTTATAAAAACATCCAGTGGGCCAGATTGGAGTCTTTACAGGGCCAATTCTGGCACCTCGAACTAGAATATAAGCAAAGTTTGCCTTTTAATTTAATCATACTAAAAAAACTTTTTAAATAAGAATTAAGATTTGTGCAGCTCCGTGTTCCAGTCTTCGCACACGGAGCTCCTACAGTGACTCAGTGTTGACAGATATTAATGCACTGCTGAGCGTGCCTGACACTTGTTGGGAAGATGTGAGTAAACTTTCTCGACATCAGTGTGAAACTGCCGGGCAGTTCCACACCATGTGTTTTACACTACGCTGAGCACAAACCATGACTGCAGTGTCTTATCTCTGCTTCAGTTCTCATATGAACAAGGATTTGCGTACAAAGATTTGTGTCTGTCTAAAACTGAGACCGAATACAATGAACTATTTTTAAGCAAAGCGAGAACACCTGATCTTGGTAAAAATGTGACTTTGACGTGGAGATTTAAACCTCTCAAGCCCTGCACGGCTTTATCTCAGCTCCATCACTGAAAGGTCCTTTTTGTGATTTGAGATCCCCTCAAAAAAGTTCGCTTGCAATATACTATTAAAAAGTCACTGCTGGCATTAGATTGAAATTGAGATTAGTAAAGAGGGCGACTTGGATGAGTGTGGAACTAAAATGTCAGTTTGAAAGACAATGATTAATCTCCCAAACCCCGAGGGAGAGCTGGAATAAAAGGTTTCAGATATGAGTCTGAGATTTTCAGGGAGGATCTGCTAAGCAGCTGTAAGAAGATAACGGAAATTATGTGGCGAGATGTCATTAAAAGGTGTTAGTTTTGTTTTAAAGCACTCTCATTTAGTTCTGCTTTCTGAGACTGTTAGTAATACAAAGAGTCCACTGCTCCCCCTCCCCGATAAAACAACTGCAGGTGCAGAAGCTTATCCCAGTGTGCATCCCTGGTCAGACCACGCAGAGAGACAAACAAGCCTTCACACTCACATTCACATCTACGGCTGATTTAGAATCACAGATCAGCCTAACATGCATGTGTTTGATCTGTGGGAGGAAGTCAGAGCACCCAGAGAAACCCCACACAGGGACAGGGAGAACATTCAAACGCCACACAGCGAAACCCAGGACCTTCATCTATGGGCGGCGCTGCTGTATATCATGGTCATCTATCAAATAAATAAAGTCAAGAAATGACAACCACAACTTTGAACGCCATCAGCCCGTAGGAGTGCTTATTTCACTTGCAGGGTCACGGTACCACACTGGCTTCCCACTCATCGAAGCCTGAGAAACTGACTCAGTCTCTGACCCTGAGGCTCTGTAGCAGAAAAATCCAACAATCTAGAGCCAGACCTGCACAGTTCTACCAGAAAAAGAGTGTATAAAGCACTTTATACAACATGTCTCATTCATCCAGTCAGACACAAGCATTCCCCACCCCTGCTATATCTAAGTGTTTTCTAACGTTCACTAATAAATGCCTTGGAGAATAATTTGGGGTTCAGTTCCTTGCCCAAGAGTACTTTAGCATGTAAACTGAAGCAGCTAGGGATTAAACCACCAACCTTTTAATTTGTAGGTGCTCTACTGCTTTACTGCTCGAGCCACAACCACATAAATCTGCTGGGCCTTGAGTTAGAACCAGTAATGTGCAGGAAATAGTGCAGGAAACCTCTAATGATTTGCAGATGCAGTTTTTCATCCAATGAAATGTATCACAGCTTCTGTTAGTCAAAATAATTCTCAAAGGCGTTCAAAAAGTCGCCTGGTTTTCAAAAGGCACCAGGCAGGACCTCTGCACACTAGTGGAACAAGGTGTTTGTTAAGAAAGACTGACAGAACAAAGCCAATCAATGGCTACATAAACAAAAGAGGAAACACGGCCATTAAAAATGCATATTAACAAACAAATTCATCACTGGGATTCAAACTACAGGAGCATGCTTGAGCAAGTGAGCCGTAAATAATCAACTTCCACTTTGGCTACATCTGTATGTAAAACACCTAAATGCAAGTCACCGTGTGAGAAAAAAAGAAGCAGAATTTGAGGAAGAGCTGCACATGGATGACTCGGCTCCATGTTGACTCACAGTGAAAGCAAAAGATTGGTCATCAGATTTGATCTAATCTGCACCAAAGTGTTAAATGCAAAATAATGCAGAGAAGATGTCAAAGATTTAAACAAAATCAAAACAAAACAAACAAAAAACAACAACAAAAAAAGAAGAAATAGTTTGACAGGAAATATTTTTGCATCACCAAGGTGGTTCCCATAGAGCTATTAGCAAAAAACGTCCCATATAAGTGATTTACAGTAGATGAACTGAAGTATCTGAAAGTCATGTCCCTCAAAAAAAGGAAACAAAAATCCAACAAACACCTGACAGGACCATAGAGATGGACTCTTCAGCTGATCTATCTGCAGTTCACCCAAACCTCTTAATAGAGGGGGACTTCTTAACGAAGAGAAACAGAGGGGAAAAGCCTCAGGTGTGCCAAAATACACAAGAATTGAACTGAAAATCAGTGGCAACCGGTCTGTTGGAGAGATGAGTCCAAATTTGAAACTTGTAGCTAAAATCAGCTTCAAGGATGGAAGTCAGGAAAGATACACAGCAGTAAGTGTCATGGTTCCATTGTTTCATGGAATTATGAACACAGAAAATTATAGTTCGATTCCGCTCCACCACACAATATGATGAAAGTCTCTGATTGGCTATAGTTTCACTCTTCACCACGACAATTCAGTTCAGTTTCTTTTCAGTTTTAATTACACAATGTCAAATCACAATTTGCCTTAAGGTGCTTAATGTTGTTTTTATACAGAAAAAAACCAATGAAATCTGGCTTAATGGATAGAGCTGGGCATCATCTACATAGCAGTGAAAATTTATGCTATGGCTTTGAACGATAGTACCTAAAGGAAGCATGTATAATATCAACAGAATTGGTCCTGGTGAGGAACCCTGTGGAACATGTCAATGATCCCAAACATACTGGCCAAATAGAGAAACACACATTACACACTATTAGTCATGGAAAAGCCTCTCCAGAGTCCGGACTTCAACATTATTGAAGCAGTCTGGGATCAAATGGACAGTGAATGGAACAAAAGGCAAGCAACATCCGAAAACTGTCATGGTGTGGGTCTAGGGACCCAGGGCTCATGTATTTTTGTATTTTGTATGTTTATTTTTCCATATGTAGGGTTTTGGTTGTTTTAAATAAATCGACTCTCCTTCACAATAACAGTCCAGTGTTTGGGTCCTTCTTACCTCAACTCCACGGTCTGCCATTGCAATCCATGACAGTATAATCCCGCCATAATGGACCTGGCGGACTCAAGTGTTGCCTCAGAGAAGGAGTTGTTCTCCCAGCTCTGGGATTACTGCTGAAGCATAATCCAGACTGCGAGCAAACACCAGAGACAAATAGAGGTAGTGTTTTTTGATAACTTCCTGTCATCCTCTACCTTTTCTGTGAGCTTTTTGGACATGAGTACTCTCTCAGCTTTAAGATGTTTAGTTTGTGCAGTCTGAGCAAGGAGAATTTGGCTGCCCTCCTGGGAGCCCTTGCTTCCTGTTTTTTTTCTGCATCAACGGACGGTTTTCCCACCGTCGCATGCTGCTCACTTGTTGGAACCTCGGAGGAGACGGCGCCCGTGCCATCGTCAAACCACAACTCACCTCACTCCTGTGGCTTTAGAAGAATCAGCTGATTCTGGACCAGCTGAGCAAGGCGCCGCAGAGAGTTACTCAGC